CCTCGGTCCGGCACTCGAGGAGATCCTTCATGTTGATACATCTGGTCTCAGTCTGGATCTTCCCGCTGGCGTCGCGGATGTACTGTCCGTCCGGGGTCACGCATTTGCGAGGGGGAGCCACCCGACAAATTCGACCAATTTCTTAAAGGCCAAACTATCATCCTCGTCCAAATGGTTAGGCCGATAGATGAAGATTTCTATGCTAGATTGGAAATGCAGCTTCATCTACTCCAAGGGGAAATGGGAATGAAATTCCACCTCGGGCTTGCCGTTCACCACGGTAACCTCGTGTCAGAACAGCGTATTTATGGCTCCGTCCATCTCCGACATCACCACATACCACCTGTCTTTGAACCCCCATACAGAATTCGTGTATGTCCGGAAAAGCCTGGTCAGCTGCTTCAGGGATACCCAGTTGTGTCGTCCAGACACAGTCTGCCATTGCAGATGGAAGACGCAGAAGAATAGTGGAATGGTGGCCCCGAGTTCGAGATAGTTGTAGACGATCTCAAAGGCACGAATAAAGGCAAGAGAGTTGGGGTGGAGCTGAGAGGGCGCCAACATCAGATGGTCGAAAACTCCATGTTGAAAATCCGTGAACGGCAGGCACATCCCCGACTCCTTAAACGCGAAATCGTACATGGGGAATCGTCTCCCATCATAGCGAGAATGGATACGATCCCGCTCCCGAGGGCGACATGCCCTGAACTGGCAAGGAGCCTTGGCCATTCTGTCCTCGATTACGGCGAAGACATCCATGTCATCGGCAATGAAGCATGGCATGTAGTTACGCGGTTCTTCCCTAGCCCATTCTTTTGTCGGCCTGTCTGGAGGCTCCACGGTGGTCATGTCTTGGCGACCCCCCTCGTCGTCGGACAGATACCACACTATTTCTTCTTCACGGGCAGCCATTTACCTGAAAAGCAGAGGAACTCGGTGAATTCGACAGCTAAATCAAATCCATCCTTCCACCGCAGTTCAAGTGAAAGGGCGTGGACGCCCGAAGCCGAGCAGAACTACGACACGCCCCGGGTCGCCCAGAGGACCAATCTGGTTTAACCCTAGATCCTTCATCTTCTCGGGGAATTCATCCTTTTGTCCTCAGGATACTCATCGATCGTGCCCGGGGTATTCATCAAACATCCTCGGGACATTAATCATCATATCTCCCCGGGCCACTCATCGCAAGTGTCGGGGACGTTCGATCAGAACCCTAATTTTAAAGAACTTTCCGGCGTATTCGTTGAAAACATCCACGGCCTCCCCGGCATGCCAGTCTGAGCCGCCGGAAACCTACTAAAACACCAGTAGATGGGGCGAAAACTTACGTGGTAAGACAGAGAGAGGTGGTTGCGTCGAGCATAAGTGTGTTAGACGTCGAGCAGAGAATTCAGAAAACTTAGCGGCAGCAAGGAAACAAGTGAGCAAAAAGACGAACTGAACCCACGTATATATACGCCGCTAGCACGAGAAACGAAGTGTCATTAGGCATTCAAGTACCTAGCTCGTAGCCTCAATAGGATGACACGTGGCAACTCTCAGCTTTCCCTGCGTCTCTTCAAGTTCCCTCTCCTCGTCCGCGGGCCTCCCCGCGCATCATAAGCTCGCCCGACCAGTATGGTCGCGGACAGGCCGACGAAGCGACATGTTCGACACCTCTGCACCTTAAGTCATAACTCATTTGACCACGAACAACGACTTGGGGGCTATTGTTCTGGACTGGACCGACACTTGACCCACAGTCGAGCAGGACCAAACCCCATTGGGTTGGAAGGCCCAATAAGACCTAAATCACCTCCCCTCGGGCAGACCCTTTCTCCCATCGGGTACGAACCTCTTGGCATTCGAACAGACACCTCACATCTGCCTGGCACGCTCTCCCGTCTTCCCAACCGTCGGGCAGACCCTATCCAGCTCGGGGGCTCCTCTGACCTCCCCCCACGTTCTCAACGTGTCCCCTACGCGGAGACACGTCATCAGGAAATTACTCGTGCCCTAATTATTCGGTCTTCCACCTTCCGGATAGCACAGAACAATTACACTAGGGCGAAGACCATATGCTGGTCTTTCACTAGAGGGTCAGGTAATCTCATTGTTACTTCTCTTTTTGTACTTGTTATCATTATGCCCGACTCTTTGGCATCAAAGTGTGTTTTAGGTACACCCCCTCCATTCTCTCCAACAGTCAGACAGCTCAGACGTGTGGTCGGCCAATGACTTCTTCTAATCAGGTGAGATCAATATTTATAGTTTGGTTTTTAAAAAATGATTTTTTATTTTAAAAAGTATATAGATTTTGAAAAATAAAATAAAATAAATCTTTTGTTGCAAACAATTTTTTTTTAAAAATATGCTTCTAAAAACTAATATTAGGTGACTAAAAATAAGAGACTAATAAAATACTCATTTAATAGAGGGCTAAAAAGAAAGTTTTACCCCATACCCCTACACTTATACCTATACCCCTACATTAAAAAATTTTGGACCAAAATATCCTCGTATAAAAATTTATTATTTTTTAATTTTTTTAATTTTTTTTTATTTGTTTACCGGAAGACTTTTTGGAAGTCTTCCGGTTCACATTTTTTTAGTATGTTTACCGGAAGACTTTTTGGAAGTCTTCCGGTACATATTTTTTTCGTTTGTTTACCGGAAGACTTTTTGGAAGTCTTCCGGTTCATGTTTTTTTTTTTTAATTTGTAATTAATATTTAAGATTTATTAATTTTATATAAAGATCAATTTAGTAAATTTTTGAATATTATACTTAAAATATAAAAATTCTATAAATAGAGAATCATTTTCAGAATATTTTCTATTTACTATAATTATTAGAATACTAGGATTAAAATCATTTATTTTAAATGATCATAATAGTAGAATTTTCTCAAATATCTTATTAATCTTAAACATTAATAAATAAAATAAATTTAAATATAAGATATAAGTTTACATTATTCAATATATTTAATCAAATGAAAACATATGTGATAAATAAATAATGTATTTTAACTTAAAATTATCACAATAAGTTAACTTGCAAAATAATATAAGTAATAAATTAATAATGTATTTTATTTAAAATAATCACAATAATAAAATACGCAAATAATGTGTTTTATTTATAGGACTGATATAGTTTTATTGATTATTTAATTTTGAATACTACTATGAATATAGTATTTAATCTATACTTTAGAACTCACATAATTATAAATATAAAAAATATTGTTTTATTACCCATATTTTTATTTAATTTAAAAAAATAAGAATATAAATTTATTATTTGTTTTTCATTTTTGTTTGATCTTTTTAATTATTTCACTTTATTTAATATTTTTAATAAAATAAATAATATATTTTATTTAAAGTAAGCACAGTATAGAATATGCAAAAAATTTATAAATAAAAAAAAGATCAAACGAAAATGAAAAACAAATAATAAATTTATATTCTTATTTTTTTTAATTATATAAAAATATGGGTAATAAAAAAATATTTTTTATATTTATAATTATGTGAGTTCTAAAGTATAGATTAAATATTATATTCATAGTAGTATTTAAAATTAAATAATCAATAAAACTATATCAGTCCTATAAATAAAACACATTATTTGCGTATTTTATTATTGTGATTATTTTAAATAAAATACATTATTAATTTATTACTTATATTATTTTGCAAGTTAACTTATTGTGATCATTTTAAGTTAAAATACATTATTTATTTATCACATATGTTTTCATTTGATTAAATATATTGAATAATGTAAACTTATATCCTATATTTAAATTTATTTTATTTATTAATGTTTAAGATTAATAAGATATTTGAGAAAATTTTACTATTATGATCATTTAAAATAAATGATTTTAATCTCATTGTATTCTAATAATTATAGCAAATAGAAAATATTCTGAAAATAATTCTCTATTTATAGAATTTTTATATTTTAAGTATAATATTCAAAAATTCACTAAATTTGTCTTTATATAAAGTTAATAAATCTTAAATATTAATTACAAATTAAAAAAAAATATGAACCGGAAGACTTTCAAAAAGTCTTCCGGTAAACAAACGAAAAAATATGAACCGGAAGACTTCCAAAAAGTCTTCCGGTAAACATACGAAAAAAATGTGAACCGGAAGACTTCCAAAAAAGTCTTCCGGTAAACAAATAAAAAAATATAAAAAAATTAAAAAATAATAAATTTTTATACGAGGATATTTTGGTCTAAAAATTTTTAATGTAGGGGTATAAGTACAAGTGTAGGGGTATGAGGTAAAACTTCCGGCTAAAAATAAGGAGTTAAGAGGGTAATTAATTTGACTTTTCATGTTAGGCTTTTTTTGACAGCGTCCCTTCCTTTCACCCAAAAAATGTAGCATGCGACAACATTATCTTTTTGAGGTTAACGTAATGACAAAGATAACTTGCATGGATAAAACAGAGAAAGGAAGAAAGAAAAAACAAGCTAATGTTTATTTATATGTACATGTACATTTTACAACAGTTTGAAACATGTCTTTTTGTAAGAAGTATCCGAATGTTCTTCTTTTCAGCAGCACAAGTTTGGAAACTATAGCAAATGCGGGCACTAGCATATCACCAAAGTTTTATCTCTAAATTTCACGTAGTAAGGCTTTGATCTCAATGAAATCATCGAAATCAGCCAATCAGACATCATTTTATTAACACGGGCCCAAACACTTGAAAAAGATAGTCAAATAATTTTTACACAAACAATATTTGACACTTCTACCAGCATCAACATTGCAGAATAAGTAATGTCAGGCTGGAAGAGCAGAGCTTCTCCACCTTTGGTAGGATTACCACTTCATTTTGCTGTTACATACAGTAAGACCAACATAACCCAACTCTATCCAAATTGTTTCATATCACTGCTTCTAGAGCTGCATCCCATATCTACATGAAGAATATCCTACAAATGGACCATTGTCTCTAAAACACCCACATAATGAATTACTTAGTACTTTCTAATCAAAGTTTCCAGGAATGTCAATATCTGTATCTGAAGGATTAGACATTCCTGTATCTGAAGGATTAGAAAGCTCGACCAGAGGTTCCTGTAGGTCAAATGAGCCTCATGTAAGAAGCAACTCAAATGCATCTTATAGAAAATGTCAGTTTATTTGCACAACTCTTGCATTTACAAATATACCAGAAGCTCCATTTCAAGTTTCATTGGCAAAGTTCAACTGGGGCTACTTGATATGGATGGAGCACCGGTATAGTTGTGTGACTTGTGAATACAAGCCATTTAGTTAAACATTATTTAACAAGCAACTTGATAGGATTACCTGCTCATCATCATTTTCCGATGAATGATCAATCACTGATGGCAGTGTGCTTGCTAAGTGTTCTGCAGATACAGGTAATTCCTGAACAAATATCCATTTGGCAAGTATTATAAACAATTCATAGAAGTTTTTGTTTTGTCAATACCCAACAAAAGGTGCCTGAACACCCCAAATTGAATCAAGAGAATAAAGAAAGAAAAAATTAAAACTACCTCGTCACTTGGATTAAATACATTCAAACCTTCGGTAGCAATGGCCTTGGAAGGGTGATCTTCAGAAATACCCTGAAGTCACCATAAAAGTTTTATGCAAATAGAATTAAAATTGCAGATCTGAGAATGAATTTGCAATATGTGGAAGAGTTTTACTTGTTCATTTCTGATGACAGACAATTCCCCTTCGAGATTAGTAGGCTTGACATCAATAGGACGATCCTGCAAATTTCATTCAAGTTGATACGGTGTTTAAGTACTGTGATATAATTAAACTGATCTAACAATTCGAGCCCCAAAGACTTTCAGGTAAGGCTGTTCAAAAACGAATTATGATTATAAATAATTTAAACCCAAGTCATATACTAAACTTAGCTAGAATGATTAATAATAAAATCTTCCATAAAGAACTACAAGAAATTTATTTTGATGTTAACTGAAGTGTTTCCTTCTCTTTGTGATAATCAAAAACATAAACATGCAATTTGTTTATTTGTTCCATTTTCACTAAAGTTTAATTGAAAACGTTGATAAAAGGCATTTTATGTGGTTACAAACACATCATTTGAAAATATGAGTTAAAGATGTAAATACATGTCAGAATTGCGGTATTAAATGAGTGATTGAATTGCAGTTAGTTAGCACGTCAATAACTTGACTTACAACTAAGAATCTAAGATACTTATCATATCCCCTTCCAACTTGTATTCTCCTCCCTTATCTCTACTCTCTATTAAATTTTATCTTCCCATCACCAATATAATATTATGTTTCCTTTTCTATCCAAAAGCACCCGAGTAAGCTACAGCAAATCTAACAGTTTATAATGAATCAATCACCAAAACCGTTAGATTTCAAACTGATTATTATAATGTTTGCATAGCTTTTCCTACTTAGCATGTGCAATTGGCTTACAAACAGGAAATGAATCTCAATAAAACAGTAAATGCTCCAATTTACATACCAGACCACTTTGCTCAACAGAAAGACTTCTACCACCCTTACTGAGATCTCTGAGTGTCCCCTGTGTCAGAGATAAGAAACAGGCTTAGAAATGAGGAATATATTTGCAAAGTAAAAAGGAAGCATATATAATGCGACCAACATAACATCTAGTCTGAATACAACATCTAATTTGCCACTGCTAAGATGCAAGGGGGCCTTAACTATAAAGCTCCAGGAATTCGGGTTGAGCGTAACTCAACCTTACAAAATCAACTTATAAAGTGAGAATTGTCTCCACTAATAAACATATGTTCAATCAGGCCATATATTCACAGAATAGTAGCAGAAGATAAAGAAAGAAATCCAAAATATATAGAAGAAAAAAGATTGCGCATCAAATATTACTTATTTTATTTCAACATAACTGACAAATCTGAAAAACCTTGTCTTTTTTTTTGGATCAACACAAAAGCATCATCAGACCGTATGCAGCCAACTCCAGCTACTGGAAAAGAATTGTGTTGCTGTTGTTTGTACTTCAAACAGTACAAAAGTTGAGACAAGCATTTCATCATAAGCATACTTGTTAGTAAAATGACTAACCTTGTTGGCCCACATGAGCCCGCATGCATTACATAAAGTTCTTGGTCCATCTGGTCCGCGACGCATTGCAGGAGTATTATTTTCATTGACTCCGCAATGTTTACATCTACGCCTATAAGACAAGAACAGAAGGATTTGAATAAAACCATGCGCATTCACAAATCTTTCTCTCCCTCACACCACAAAAGAATCATTATGTTTAAAACTCACAGAGTTTCAGGATTAGGAGTGCCATTTTGACCAGCACCCTGTGCAGAATACCAATTAGAGGAACCAGGGCTTGGCTTCACAGATGCAAACTGTCCCTTTTCTCGATGCATCCTAGCAAGAAATAAAAGAGAACCAAAACACAACCAAAGTCATAAGTAGAAATGAACACAACTTCAAAAACAATTTAAAATCAAACAAAACCTAAAAAGGAGGGAGTAATATTATTGAACTTCAAAATGTCAAAATGCATTAAGCTACTATCAACAACAATGAATAATTATGTCTCTCCCTCCTCACTTTAGTTAAGAAATCTCCTAACTGCTCTGCCTCTACCCAATATTAAGTCAGGTATAAGATTCTATAGTGTGAATGTGATAATTCAATATAAAAACAAAATTTATTCAGACCCAACATGAAACCTTTTCCATTCATAATTCTCTAAATGAAATCAAGTTCAGTTGCAGCATACATTATAGTTTTTTATGTAGCAAATCTATTTGAAATCATTAATATTTTTAAGATCTCAACTATACTTTCTCCGTGAAAAGGTTTAGGGTTTAAATGTTCGTAAATAATAAAATACTATCCTTTTTGCAAGACTGCTTGGTCAAGTGCAAAGAAAATTCAGTTTGCTTTAAATTTGGTTTTTGATATACAATCGAGATGATTAATCTATGCCCTAGTGAGGTAAGACTTGATTGGTAGATAAAAGTCTATAGGGTTCAAGTCTTCTGTATTGAAATATTTCTATAATTGTAAACAATGTAACAGACGTAAACATTTACGGTGACAAGACAAGGCAATTGTTTAATAACAGTTTCTCCATTTGAGAGAGTAAATGTTTGTCCAGTTAATCTCGAAAACCGCTTAACCACTTACCACTGGAACATAATTCTAGAGTTTATGGAGCATCTTGGCCAGTATAAAAATCATATAAATAATTTATTTATAAAATAACTCAGAGATTTATTACAATTATTGAAGAGCATAGGTAGTGTTTAAGACAACAGAGTGACCATATTTTATCAAAGCTAAGATATTCTCTAGTGTATAGATTGTAGATCTAGAAATAAGTTATTTCCTTTGGGGTTATAGGGCAAAATACAAAAATTTCATTTACCTTTCTGCCACCTCTTTTCTCACGGTATATCTAATTTTCTTGTCAAAACATCTTTCCTTGCGTTTTTCACGGAACCTGACTAAGGAGGCTATTCTTCGGGAAAGATTCGGACGCCTTGTAATATCACTCATGCCCTAGAGATTGCAAGATCCAATGCACAGAGCAAGTATAAAAATACAATACAAGTTATAAAAATGTTTTTGTTTAGTCAATATGTGTTTTACCCTATAACTTTGATCAAATGGAAGTTCATCAGTAGGCATGCCCGCTTGCGTATCACGTCCTCCCAAAAGCAGCAAAACAGCTTGAACCTGCAATGTAAAAGTTTATCAGCAAGCATTCCTCAATAGCAAATCCTTCAATCATTGTCCATTTGACAAATCAAAAGTAAATGCCAAATTTAAATATAGGACTTTGTTAATTTTGCTCCACGTGCTACATAGGATTTTTTCTTCCATTCTATCAATATGCTATTAGTGATCAGAAATTTGAATAAATTTACAATGACAAACCCGTGATATAAAACCCCTACCATAACAGGTCAAAAGACGAGTTGGACTCACACATTGTAGATATATTGTAAGTAACATTACTTTGCAATTGCAAGAGATCTGATTCCTAGTCATACACCAACAACTTTGACTGTTGTGTCAATGTTCCCTTGATTTGCTAATACTTACAAAATGTCACTTAATTTTCAATATCAGAGGCTTGCTATCTTGTAGGAATTTTTTAATATACTATCCAGGAATTCAAAACATAGATTAACAATAAATAAACACATTGTAAATAACCCAGCCACGCAGCCCTTTTCAAGTAAATATAGTTCCTATCCATGTACATATCCTTTCTTTTAAGTATGAAAAAATCAGTTTTGGTATAGACAAGCAACTCACATGCCAAGTAGATCATTATTTATTCAGCATTGCTACCTTTACTTTACAACAACAATCCCATTTTTCAGACTGTCTATGTTTGATGTTAATAAAAGAGGCAATCAGGACGCTTCTAAGCATTCCAATTCATTGTGATATACCGTCCTAACAACAATTTAACAAATAACAATCAAATAAACCATCAATTTAGTCATTAAACTATCAATCTCTCTCCGATTTAGTCCCTAAACTATATAAATATGATAAATAGGGCCTAAAGTAAATGAAATTTGTCAATTTAATCCCTAAAGTATATGAAAATTAATCAGTTTAATCTCGAACATCTTAATAACAGGGGCAATTTGAACCGAATTTATATACATTAGAGATTAAATTGAAGAGAAAGTGATAGTTTAGGACTAAATTAAAGGTATATTCCATAACAATGCATGTGTTGAGTTCAATCAAAGTGAATGTTAAGAATTATGCTAACATATACTTCAACCTAAACTGAGAAGTGATGAACAATAATTACCTTCTGAGGTGTGACAGCGGGAAAGACGTAAACCTCACCCTCAAAAGAAAGAGTGAGCTCACCAGTACGGGTTATAGGCAAAACGACGCCGTCGTGATTCGCACTAGCTGAAGCGTTCACTGAATTGACATGCGTCTCCTCCTCCAATTCATCCATAGTATCATCGCCACCAGTGTAGTCTTCGTCGTCGTCGACGGCCGGAATTGCATGATCCTCGAACGGGAGAGGTGGTTCCGCCATCAGCTTCGCCGCTTGCTTGTCTCTGTCGGAGAGTAGAAACCCTAATTTCGAAAACTGAAACGTAGATCAAACTCTGAAATGAAATTGGGGAACTTTGAGAAGAAGGTTCGAGAAGTTTATTATAGAGAAAAATGAAGATCGGTGGAGTAACGAGTAAGTGAAGGCACTCGAGAAAAGATAGTGAAATTTTGACTGACGGCGTCAGCGTGTCGTGAATCTATTTTGTTTCTTTACTTCTTTTTTTTTTTAACGGTTCCTTGTTGTTCGTGCCGAGACAGAAATGTTTTTTTTACCGTTAATGTTTTTTACAGTTCTTTGCTGTTCATGCATGAGAAATAAATGTTCTTTTTTTTTCTCAGAAAAAGAAATGTTTTTTACAAAAGAAAAAATGCTAAAACTCGCTATTAACATAATTTGGTGATTAATGATCATAAGTGTTGGTTAATGAGAGGATAATATTAAAGATTAGAGAAAATAAACTTTTGGAAAATGCTAGACTAATCTCTAATATTGAGTTAGATGGTTTTGTAAAAAATTTAGATTAATTAGTTGTCGTAATATTTCTTATAATATTATTATCAAATTTTTAGCACATACTATGTTGCAAATGATAATGAGTAGTTTATGTTAAAGGAGTTTTATTTTGGTTGAAAAAAATGAGAAGATATTGGGTCTTGTTTTAATTTTAAAAAATGGATATATTTATTTTCGTATTTTTTAAAATAGATTATATAAAAGTGTTTTTTAAAATATTACAAATTTTTCTAAATTTAGTTTTTATAAATTAAAAGACAATTTTTTACTATAATATAAATATATGTTATTGAAGATAAAAATATAGTCAAAATCACAGTTTTTTCAAAAAGTTATATTTCAAAAATGATTTTTATAAAAAAACTATTTGAAATAGCTTTAAAATTAAGTTATTTTTTAAAATTTTCACATTAAAAAATAAATAAATAAAATGATGAAATACATAGAATAGCATTTTAAGAATAATGATTTAAACCAAAGTTTTATTTGAAACTTTTTACACCAAAATATTTTATACTATAAAAATCATTTTTAAAAAAATCAAAACAAATGGGTTCTTTATGGGTAGGAAGTCATTTACTTTATGAAAATAGAAGGGCAAGAAAGGGTTGGGTGGTTATCAAAATTGATATGAAGAAAACTTACAATGGGTCAAAATAGAGTTTTAGTATTAAAGATATTTGTCGCACAAGTTTATTGATGATACTCATAACTGTGTTATCATTTATAATTGACTGATATGAGTTTTTTTTGGAATGACGAGACTCTCGATGAATTAAGTGTTTATGATAAAAGTGGGATGTAGTTATACCGTATGAGTGGTGATATTTAGGTAGAATAAATGCAGAAACTTTATTATGTCACTCATTTACAAGAGAATCATCAAGCATTTATTCCAAAATATTACAAGTTTTTCTAAATTTAGTTTTTATAAATTAAAAGATAATTTTTAACATAAATATACATTATTGAAGATAAAAACATAGTTAAAATCATAGTTTTTAAAAAAAGTTATATTTCAAAAAAGATTTTTATAAAAAGCTATTTGAAATAGCTTCAAAATTAAGTGATTTTTTAAAATTTTGACATTCAAAAAAGTTTAGATAAAATGATGAAATATATAAAATAACATTTCAAGAATAATTGTGTAAACCAAAATTTCATTTGAAACATTTTACATCAAAATATTTTACACTGTAAAAATCATTTTTAAAAAATGTCAAAACAAACGGGCTCATTATAGATAGAACTGTTCTGGAGTGGGCCCAGACCTGCCCATTCGTCGGGCAGACCCAACTCAACACTATGCGGGGAAGGCCCAAATCCCCGCGTCGGGCACAAAGCCACATGTGTTGGGCAGACGTCTCCCGTATCGGGCAGACCCACACGTTCTCCATGTGCCCACCTCGCGGGGACACGTCATCAAACAACAACCCACCTCTAAAAGAGCTGGTCAACCCATCTTCTGGAGATCACGGGACAATTAATCTAGGGCGAAGACCACGTGCTGGTTTTCACTACGCCATGTAAGCCCTAGCAGTTACTTGGGTTAGGCCTGACAATCTGACCCAATGCAAGTGACCGTTGGCCCTGCGTTGGGGTCTCACTATAAATACCCTCTTTCACTAGAGGGTCATGTATTCCATTTTTCTACACCTATTTTTGTATTTGCTTTCACTCTGATCTTTTACTCACTTAAGCATCGGAGTATTTTGCAGGTATACCCCTCTCCATTCTTCCAGCAGTCTGACAGCTCAGACGTGTGGTCGGCCAGCAATCTCTTCTGATCAAGTACGATCGGTGGCTCCGTCTGTGGGAACGTGAAGCTTTCCCGTTCTTACGAGCAGTAGAACTAAAGGTTTTATCAACTTCAACTTCCTAGATCATGACCAGCCCACATCACGACAATGTTGTCCATAATTCCGCCTTCATCCCACTCACCAACGGCGAGGACCAAGATGGTCCCTCCCACATCCACGATGGTGACGTGAGGGACAGGAAAACTGCCTCCCCTTCATTCGTGGACGCGACACACCACGTCACCCCTCGGGCAAGGAGCCTGACTGCTTTTTAACCCGTTCCCACACCAGTCGGGGCAGACCCGACAATGACTTCCCTCTTCGCAGCCATCGACCAGATTAATCTGATGTTGTTCTAGCAAAACGAGCGTATCAGGATACTGGAACAGGATACCTCATCTCACTCTCCCCTACGGAGAACCCAGCGTGAGGATTCCCGGAGCCCCTCTCCACGTCAACGGGTGCACCAACCACAATTGGAGAGGCCTCAACCCGTGGCCTCCAAAAAGCGCGACAAGTCACCCTCCGGAGGGAGAGGCGCTCCTCGGTCCCGAGGAGGAACAAACCTGAGGCCTCGAGTAAGAGGACGGGGGGTCGTAATCAAGTCCCTCGACACAATCCGTCTCCCTCACGCTCCCCTGTCCACAGTGACGAGGACAACCACCGAACTCCCCTTTCGCGGGAAATCATGGAGACCCCCATCCCCCACGCGATGGAGAAGTTGTCTTCCCTATCCACCTACGATGGCACGACGGGCCCAGACGATCATCTGGAAGATATCGAGGCCATGCTCGAGTATCAGAACGTCTGAGGAGCCATCAAGTGCAGGATCTTCCCAACGACGCTGAGGAAGGGAGCCATGGCCTAGTATAAAAGCCTGAAGCCCGAGTCCATCACATCGTGGAGGGTGTTGAAGGATCTATTCTCACAACATTTCACGGTGTCCCGACACCATCCAAAGATGGAGGCGGCCCTGGGTGCGGTCACCCAAGCTCGGGACGAATCTTTTAGGAGTTACATCGAGAGATTCACGACAGAGGAAGTCCAGGTGACCATTTCAGACGACATGAAGTGTTACCTTTATGGACTAAGGGTTGCACCGCGGCTCCAAATTTTACGAGGTTGTGGCAACCCACCAGTCAACCACCCTCTAAGGCTTCCTCGAGAAAGCCCGAGCATACATTCGATACGAGGAGACCGAAGCTGTTAATTCATCCCGAGACTCTCGTAACCGCGAAGCTGCCCGTGGAGCTCAGGAAGAAGAAGCTCCAGCACCCCAGCGCGGGGGAGACCGTCGACGAGATGATCGTCCCCCGGAGCCCCGAGAGTAGAGGGGCCCCGCAGGCCGGTTCACTGAGTACACGACCCTCATCACTTCCTGCGAGCGCATCCTGGCCGAGTGTTGCACCCCAAAATTTGACCAACATTTATTTACCTAGCTTGTGTTCATCAAGAGGTATGAGTACCAATCAAGACTTTGAAGCTAGCCAAGAAGTTTGTTCAAATGTTCAAAGGTTGATATCTTTGTCAGAGAAGTTAAGAGATCCTCAGAAAGATTGGTTGAAACCAAGGTTGTGTGCCTCCTAACTTGAGAGTTGTGGGAGCTCCTCAGATGACTCTGAAGCTATGAGGATGGACTTGAAGCTTTGAGAGAGCTTATGAGATGTATTGAAAGCCATCATAAAGCCTAGAGAGGCCATTGTACAAAAATAAGAAGACTCAGCCATGAGTGGTGTAATTAGGGTTTGACTGGGTCAACCCTAGGTCAACTGATGATTTGGAGAGGGTTGAGACTTAATCCAATAACCATGTGATCATGGATTGATGCATTGAGATGCTATAAGGATTATTCCAAGGTCAACTCATCATGATTGAGGAGTTTGAAAAGTTTCAAGCTAGGGTTTCTAAGGCTTGACAGTGTAAAATCCCCTAGTTTGATCCCTTATCTTCAAGGCAGTTTAGCTCAAGATGTGATTGTCATCTCATCTTACCCCCAACTTGAATGTTGTAGAGCTTGTTCTTAGATTTAATTTGAGTACTAGAAGTCCTTGATAGGATTTGTAGAGCTCAAGTTATGACTTTGACAAGTTACAGGTCATCTGAGGTATGTGAATCTGGGTCCTTGAAAGTCACCCAACTTGCATCCAACTTTTGCCCAAGAAGGATGATTCCTATGAACTTTTGGTCAACATGAATGGTGTTCCTCATTTTCTTAGCTTTCTATAGAGTACTAGAAGTCCTTGATAGGATTTGTAGAACTAAAGTTATGGCTTTGACAAGTCAAGGGCATTTTGGTCATTTGGAGGTTATAGGTCATTTCAAGCATAAGGCCATAACTCCTATTTCCAAGCTTCAAATGGAAAAATCTTCAACATCAAACTTGCTTATAATGATGTTTTAAGGCTAGTAAGGAGGTCATGAGATGTTGAAAAGGCTTGTAGCAAAAAGTGATAAAAATGACCTAGAATGGAGGCATAAGTTAAATAAGTTGAAGTTGGAAATTGAAATTTCCAAGTTACACATCCAAACCATGGCATATGATAGGTCATTTTGACTCCAAAGAACATGGACTTGCTTTGGAAAATGGTTGCTTGCATCTTAAGGTACAAAGGCAAAACACAAGGAAAGGAAATGTACAAGCTTGCTAAGTGTCTTAACACATCCCAT